TTCATCGAAATCTGAGCAATAATGAAGGAGATAAGGGCCAAACACTGAAAAGAGCCCCTAAAAGTGGGCGTGGCTTATTTACTTGGTTACCATAGCAACGCCGTCGCGGATTCAGAATTGCCAACATCATTTTTCTTGGTAAGTATCACGTATAGTTCATAAAAATATATGTCGCTTAGCTCGCCTCTAAAAAGGACACGGAATTACCTTTGCTCCCATACTATTAGTAAAAGTTGAAAATGTCATTCGATAAATTGAAGTGTATCATTTTATGTCACCGTCATTTCGTCACAACATACAAAACAAGTTTCAGAAAAACATTATTGAATGTCATAAATAAGGTTATTGATGATTGTGATGATATAAGAATTTTTTCTTGAGAAAATACAATATTGGCCTCGGAAAATATCATATTGCTGTTGACACATTAACAGAACTACCTAGCGGAGACATAAGGGTTATGTACTGGGAGGTTTTGGATACATGTTTTATCCCAAGGGAAACATGTGTATATCCTGAGGGACTGCAGGGACTGAGGAATATACACATATTTCCCGAGGGATAAACCCTGTATCCAAAACCGACCGTACATAACAGATGTATTTCATACCTACTGATGTTCTAGGTACATCATATACCTTATAAAGTTCCAAAATTCAAAAATATACTCAAGATTTTCATTTTCTTGGTGTTATAAAGTGGTTTTTAAATTTCTGAGATTTTCAAACTCATTTAACTCATATTTTGAAAAATAAAATTTTGAAAAAAAATGTGAAAAATGTGAAAAACATTTTTTGAAAAAAATGTCAAAAAAATTTTGAAAAAGAATGTGAAAAAAATTTTGGGAAAAAATGGGAAAAATTTTTTAGAAAAAAAACATTTGAAAAAAATTCAAAAAAAAAATTTGAAAAAATTGTGAAAAAAAATTTCAGGAGCGGGACCGGGCCTTGGCTAGATAAAGTATATATATAGTGCTCGTTATGTACCTAGAACCTCAGTAGGTATGAAATACATAGGGGTTATGCACTGGGAGGTTTTGGATACAGGGAATACCCTGAGGGAGGGAAGATATATTGTATATCCCATGGGATAATTCCTGTATCCAAACCGACCGTGCATAGCTGTTGTATTCCATACCTGATGAGGTTTGAAATAATAAGCATGTATCCCATATGCTCTGGTGTGTTTACTTGCAAAATATGTTATCATTTTCAAAAAAAATTCAATTTTTTTTCCAAAGGACGGGTGTCAATAAAGGCCCTTTTTAGCCCCCAAAGATATCTGATAATAATGCATATCATATTGAAGAATGATCATTTGTGCTTTATAAAATAACAATTTCAGCGAATTTTGAGCTTTGATGTTCACACAACAGTCATTTAAAGATCATATACCATTTTTGGTGTTTTTACAAAAAATTCTTTATTTATTGTTGTCTAAGTAAATAATATATAAATATAAACCAATTTAAATATATTAAAATGTAATATATGAAATACTGAAGAAAAGATACAATTAAAATTATTTTCATGGAAAAGCACATGAGGCAATATTGGCAAAATGCAAATGATATTTTGGTAGGTTCCGGGCTAGCAATGGGTACATTTCAACTGTGACTGTACAGGATACTATTGACTTTTATCACGATTCACATCACAGGGCAACATTTAAGCAACTCAAATACAAGGAAAATCAACGATTTCCTCTCATTTCTAAAGTGAGGAACAAAAGCTTGAATTCAAGGAAAATAAATGATGGCCTGTGCCAAATTATAACATATAAGAAAGTTGTACTGGCATAGTAAAGGATATGTATAGGGTATCATATGATTTTAAATGATTTTATCTTTATCTCCAAGTTAGCATAGCGAATTAGCGCAGATATTGATATCAATGAGTGGATTAACACGATATCACGAACATTTATAGGATGTTCTATTTATCCCATAGTTCACCTATAAAACTAAACAAAACATATCAAAACAACATCCATTCATTTATTCATCCCCGTGATGTCATGAAATCACTATGTATCAAAACACATCATATTAGTGGTAGTTTTCAAATCCCTGGCAATAGGTGATATCTGTGAAATATTTTCCGTATTCCACAGATAACACTTTTTCCACGCATTTGCAAAATATCATAAATATGTTTTCATGTTACCTAACAGAGCGGAACAGAGCCCAACTATGGGATAAAGAATATCAAATAGGTAAATTGAATTCCAAAAATCCAAAAATATTAAATATGAGGTTTTAAAGAAAGAATATTGAATATGAGATTCAAAAAGTAGGAACTCATGTCTCACATTACCCAAACTCCAGATCCTTGGTGTCATATATATACTGTATATCAATGTTATTTACAGGGAGGATTAAATATGGAGTGTATAGCAATGGTCAATCCGATATTTCCAGAGGGAATATCTTTTTTCTCTAGAAGCGAAACCCAAACTCAGTCATGACATGGAAGCTAACTTCCGCAATTAATAGAAACTTGTTTTTTATTTTATTTTTGTGTTCTATATTTGAGATGAAATAATATGAGATTCATTTCTACAAGAGGATGGAATGAATGTGAACTTGTATATTGAACTATACTCCTTTTCTGAATAAATAGAACAACATTTTATCCAAGCCAATTAAGAAAACCAAGGCCAATGAGTGTTATTTATGCTCAGTTAAACTAACACAATAACAACTTTTTGTCTGGACTCACTTATTATGTAAGATTGAATTGTATTACTGTTTACTGCATTAAATGTCAAGTATACTATCTGTATTTAATTTCAAATGCCTATCTCACTTAGCGAAAGCATACAAGAAATGTTATTTTGAAACGAATTCAGCACAACCAAAACCATATCCACATATATGACAAATCCAAGATGGCTGCCACAATTTTAGATCCATGCAGATGTGAAGAAGTTAGAAATACGCATGAATCACAAGTCCCATCCCCAATAAAAAGGGAAGTTTAAGGTTCTCACACATATCAACTTTATTCCTATCTACTTTATATTTGTGGTAAGGCTTGTGATCTAGGTAAACTTAGCATGTTCATGTACTTTCTATCCTCTGAAGCTAAAAACAGAAATAGTGACTTCAATTGAGAAAAATGTATCTTATGGGCTCCATATACATTTTGAGTGGCTGTCCAGCTTAAGTTAGATACTACTGATAATCTGAGATTGATATGTCAAGTTTAGTCCTCAGCCTCTCATGATCGATAACTTCGAGGTAATTGTGTTGTTACTGCAAAAACTTATATTTCTTCATCACAAATCTACCATATTTTGCATCTGTCAAAACCCCTCATTTCATGTTAATTTTCAGACTTTTGCTTGTGCCATCATTAAATATGTATATTCAACTTGTTATTCAGGATATTTTAAGAACTTTTCATGAGGTTTTTTATTTTCACACTTTTGAAGAAATGACTAAGTCCGAGAATGGCCTCTTAATGGCATCAGAATTTTTTTTCAACATTTTTTTCAAAATTTTTTTTGAGCGGGACATACGATTTATATGTCCCGGAGATCTGTTGGAGCGGGACATACGAAAAATATTTGCCCGGATATGGAATATATTCCCGGTTGATATATCCCTGAAACCTCATCAGGTATGGAATACAATAAAGTATGTGCCTCTTTTTCAATGAGACATATTAATAACTCTTGCTCTTGGAATGACTTTCTTGCTCAAGACATCGTTCTACTCTTCTTCTGTGTGTGCACTGTGCAATGAGTGAGCGTTCAATATTGGTTTACATTTTGCATTTTTCGCACATTTTTCTGGTATAAAAAGCAACCAATCAAATCACACTTTGTTGATCAATAATCTGATTTCCTCTCAATTTCAATCAATCAACGTCAAGAACTGGCGCGGAGGTCGATTTGTATTTCCCGCCAAATTTCACTTGAGACTTGCGTTCGCTACTTTGCGTCTCTATTGTTTTGCGTTTGCTTTGTGTTTGCGATTGCGCTCAACTGAAAATAACACGCAACTCAAGCGCATAGTTTGCGACCAACTGATAATGAGGCCTCAGTTCTTCAACTCGACAATGGGAAGAACTGCTCTACCTTAGTGACTAATATGTCATGATATGACATCTAAAATGTCAATAAAAGATATATACATGTATAGTAGGGAATTTCATTCATGAATTCATTCACGTCTAATTTACATATTTAGTGGGAATTGGGCTTCTGTCTGCATTACTGCATTACATGAAATACTGAAGGTTAACTGTTTAACATCTATTGGGTACCACTATTTTAGTATGAAACTAGGTAGAGAATCTGAAACATTTGGAGTGAATAACTACCAAAACTACGCGAGTTTCGAGCCCCTGATATCACAAAATAATCAAACCAAGAACACTCATGCCCTGAACCTAATCAGGTCTTGGCACTAGTCTGGTTAATTTGCATCTGTAAAAATTTCAGTTTGAACAGGTTAGTGGTTGACCTAAATAATGAGTTAACCTGCCTAAATAGCAGCAAGTAACAATCTATTTGCTAATTCAACCTTTAATTACGCTTAATTATAAATAAATGATTGTTACAGTGGCATAAAAACTCATGCGATCACTAACTGGTTGTTCGTTAAATCATTAAATCAAAATGATGGGTTAATTTATGAACAATATTTACTGGTTAATCCAGTACAGTAGCTGACACCGGAGAATTTCATACTCAAAACCTAATCAGATCTTTGGCACTCTGCTTTTGCATTTGTAAAAAATTCAAGTTAAACGGATGGTGGTTTTCATGGAATTCTGATGACAACATTTATGTTATGTTATGTTACTAATTTCAAAAATAGCCACCATCAGCACAAGACAACAATAAAGCAATTTTTCAAAGTGCAATAAAAAAATATACACTTTATGGTAAAGTTGTGTGTATGCATAATCCGCTTAAATCGATCTTGGCAACCAAAGGAAAACCTAATTGGTATATCAGAAACAGATCATGGGGATGTAAAGTGTACTAACCTGTGAATGTGGTACCTTTCCCCGAACTTAAGGGTAACCGTAACACCTGGGCAGATTCATTAGCCAGACCACAAGTTACACAGGAGCCATCACCTAAAGTACAAAATAGTGATGCAATTTGTATGTACTGGGCGGGCATAAAAAATGGGCTGTACTTCGGCACCTGATATCGCCATAACGCTCTCATCTCTACTTCTAAAAATTTGCACATGTTAAACTACAGTAATCTGTAGTAATCTCCCATTATAAAAATGAAATTTAAGTTTCATCCTTTAAAATTTCTGATAATGGGATCAAAATCAAAAAAGCATGTCCCGGATAATTTCAAGATGAGGTCAATCCTTGTTAGACTTGAAGAATTGATCAACTGGTCCTCCATCTTCTCTGAAGATGGTGCACAAATGCTTTTTTCATGATTGAAATGATTGACTTTCACATGTTCTTTAGTCTATTGTTCAATTTTCAAGGTAATAGGTTAATACTTTGATTAATGCAAATAACCCTTTGCCACCAGAAGTTAAATAACTAAGGTCTTTGCTGAAGGCATTTTCTTTGTCACTCTGGTGTCTCGCAGATTCTTAAGATGGCACCAGAATCGCATCATTTCAACTTTGATTTTTGTGGTCATTGATGCCCAGCACATATCGCCTTGGGTTGCCTTATTGGGAGCGTGTTGCCCTACTCCTAGGAAGAATCGGCACGCCTTGTTCTGTACGATAGTAGATGCGTTTCTGGCCGATTTAGTTAAACCCCATATTGCAGCACCATAGAGCAGAACTGGTTTGACTAAGGTATCAAACAGGTGGGTATATACATCATAGCTGAAGCAGATTTTGCAAGAATAGTTGCGGTCTTAGACATATTCATGTTCTCATTAATTGCTAATCCGAGATACTCTTGGGCGTAATCGAGATCAATATGTCGCATTTGGTCTATGGTGCACAACTTTTGTTTTTATGCGTTCACTAATATGAACCCTTACATCTACTCAATCCCTTACAAAGGATAGAATTGTTGAGAAGTAAAATTCATTGTCTCAACAGCATATCTATGATGCTATGACAATTTAGGCCAAATTTGAGGGCTACAATTGATCAAAATGGTGGACATATTGAACGTCTAAATAAAGTTGACAATACAACTTGGTTTTGCAAGTTTTGGAAAACCTGTTTTGAAACGAAAATGACGTCATTGATATTATGGACGCTGGTTGACAGACATTATAATCAATTTGAACTTATGACATACCAAATAAAAGATGAGTAAATTCCCTATCCATTGGTATATAATATGACATGTTTTCATCAAGAAAATCAATATTTATTTTTGAAATAAGAGTGTCCCATTTTTCTTGGACCACCCTGTATATCGGCGTCTAGTTGCCTAAATCGTCAGTTAAATAAGCCCCTGGGTAGTAATTACTACTATCATTTCTGACTCAGGGTATAAGCCTCTATTAAAAGCAGCAGTGCACTTACATGTACTGTCATTTGTTCACATATTTGATTTTCATTGTTGACAAATTGAAAAAAAACAGCAACTGCACCGAGTAACAAATCCCACTGAACAAAACATGTTGTAATAAATAGTGACCATCTTGAGCAGAGTCCCTGTGGAATTCATCAGCATATAAAATTTGATCCAAATCCATTGACTGGTACTTGGATTATCAAAGATAACATTTTTAATGACGAAATAGCGTACATTTTGATTAATAATGGCCATCTTGAAAATTCTTTTCCTCGAGCAGAGCTTCTTTATCTCTAGGTATCAGTATATAAAATTTGAACTAAATCCATCAACTGGTATTTGAGTTATCAATGATTACATTTTTTATGAAAAATGACAGCCATTTTGAATAGAGTGGCTATATTGAAAATTCCTTCTCGAGCAGAGGTTCTACACCCATAAGGCATAAGATGGTAACAAGGTATTTACAGAATATTTTGAAACCACGGTTGGTACAAGGCAAGGTGACTGTCTCAGTCCCACAATGCTGAATATATTTATAAATGATTTAGAATCATACTTATGTAAGAAAAAATGTAAAGCTGTACGATTAGATGATGTATCCACAAACTTTCTGGCCTTTGCCGATGATATTGTACTTATGAGTTCATCAGAGTCTGGCCTACAGAACTGCTTAAATGCATTTAGAAAGTATTGTTCTGACTGGAAATTACAGGTTAATCTTAGTAAAACAAAAGTTATGGTCTTTAATACCACTAGTACGAACCATGTATTTTATTTTGGTAATAATAAGATTATTGAAACTAAAAGTTATGTATACCTTGGCATCACCTTCAAGAAAAATGGTTCTTTTGTATCAGCCATGAATTTACTAAATAGTAAGGCAATGAAAGCTCATTTTGCCATTAAACAAAGTTTTTATAGAATGCCAGTAAGGATACAAATGAAGCTTTATGATTCCCTCATAAAACCAATATCATTATATGGCTCAGAGATATGGGGCGCATATGGATTTAATTGGAAATCTAAATCCATAGAAGAAATGTTATTAAATGACAAACTCCCATTTGAACAACTGCATACAAAATTTTGCAAATTCATACTACAAGTTAATTCAAAATGTACAAACATACTAGCTAAATCTGAATTGGGAAGGTATCCCTTATTTATTAATATCTGTATTGGGATCATAAAATATTGGGTACACGCTAGGAAAGCTCCCAAAACTTCACTGATTTCGAAAGTAACAACTCTAGATATTGCCAACAATACCTCGAATTATTATACTGTTGTAAAGGCTATCTGTGAATTCTGTGGAATATCAACTTTTATAGAAGATAAAGATATTTTTGATCAAACAGATGCAAGCATATTAATCAAAACCTTGAAAAACAAATTATTTAATAAATATCAAGAACTTTTCTTTCAAAAAATCAATGTAGCTGAAAATATACCATCTAAAACCAGAGTGTATAGAACAGTAAAGAAAATGTATAAACAAGAGAAATACCTTAATATTAATAATGATTCCCACAGAAAGGCTATAACAAGGACTAGGATATCATGTCATAACTTTCCTATAGAAATGGGAAGGAGATTCAAAATTGCAAAAGAAAAGCGATATTGCTATTTATGTGACTCCAAAGAAATTGGTGATGAGTACCATGTACTTTTCGAATGCAACTATGAAAAACTTATAAATATACGCAAAGACTTTATTTCTGGTATAAGACAGATTAAAGAACAATTTATACAATTTAATAACAAACAGCTATTTAGTTATCTACTTATGAGCCACGATAATGAACTAATGAATCCATGGGGTGAATTCCTAAACAAAATGAACCTTACTGTTGACACTCATAAAATACTGAGAAATAAAAATGATTTACTGAAATGGTTCCAAAAGAAAGGTGATGCCAAGTAAGCAAGCAATATGATTATCTCATTTATATACTGCTCATAAATATTATTATACCCTTTGTGTCTTTGTATGCATGTTTTTGTAAACAACCATATATATTATACCTTTATTTTATGTATGCATGTTTCTTTATTGTAAATTACCAATACTCCAGAAGGAGATACGGAACAATAAAGTACTATCTTATCTTATCTTATCATAAGCCTATAAACGAATCAAATCTGTCAACCAGTATTTGAGTTATCACCTGGACAGACAGAAGGACGGATTGACAGCTTCTCTATATCCCTTTCGAATGTTGTTCAGTGGGACAATTAAACAGATACCTATGATGTGTATGAACTTATCATAACATTGCACTGTTATCTCAACCTTTAAAAGATTAAGAAGATTGAATCTTACCCAAGAATGTTATACTGTTGACTGGAGTAGGTCTCTCGGCTATGTCTATCTTACTGACAAGTTCAATGGGAGGTTCACAATTCATTGGGTACTCCTTCCTTTCCATTCCCCTGGAAATATATTTCTCAATTTTACAACTGCTTCATCATTAAAATTATCATTTCCAATAGTTTTGCTGTTTGTTGTCTGTAGGTTTGCAACCCATTGGGTAACTCCTTCCTTGAAAAAATAACAAAGACTAGAAAACGCAAAACCCTGGAAGCAAACTTTTCAAGTATGGCGATGTTTTCCTTACAATCCTCATTTTAATTTCTGAAAAATCAATTCAGTAAAGATATCTGATGAAATATAGAAGTTAATGAAGATTTAAGATTCAGAAATGTACAAATTCAATAGAATTGAAAAAGGGGGCATTCTCTCAGAACGGTAGAAAATACAAGGTGATAAAAAAGGGAAATTACAACAGATAAACAATTAAAAAATATTTGGTATATTCCACAGGAAAAATAAATGTTCTGCGTATGATTACCAAATGATCCACTTTTATGGACAACCCTGTACCTGTAGGTATGGAATGGAATGATGAGAGCAAAAGATATTGAAGAATAGTGACAAACTTACAACTCATCAATATCCCATTCTACTACAGGACAAATATATACTCATATACATGTAGTATTATATGTGAGAAATGTATATTTCGAACAGATATGCAGTTTAAACCACCATGAAATACTCAATTTCTTATTTACTAGTACAGTAGTAATACAAAAATAACAAAATAAAAAATCATCATAATCTAATATTTACTAAATACTTGTTTTAGGCCAGTCTACAGCAAGCATTTTGGGAAATCAGAGGGCCACTTGTTAGACATAATTTTTCTGAAAGATAACTTTATGTAGCATCAATTCACATATGTCTGGGTCATATTAGCTTGTGGACCAAGGATTCTGAGCCTTTTTACCCCCTAGAATAATATTTGAGGGGGGTATTAGATTATCATTCTATAAAATCAATTAAATATTTGCCATAGTACTGATTTCTACATAATATGTCACCAGTGCAGTGGATCAGTGTATCCTGAAATTATAGAGAGATATGTTGATTGGTTTGGGAGAAAATATAATTTATCGATATAAAAAGCATATTTTCGTTTTTTTAGTTTCACCAATCTCATTTTTGCAGCTTCAGAGAAATAATAGTCAGTAATAGTGCTCCAAGTAGTAATCAAAAAAAATTTCCTGGCTATGTGTGAGATTGTAATATAAGGAATGTAATGATTCGAGTACTATTTTGTATTTTTAATATGGCTTTGTTGACCCCTACCCCTTACCCCATTTTAGTCTAACCAATTTTATTGTTGCAGCTGCAGAGAAATAATAGGCAGTTATAGTGCTCCAAGTAGTATTCAAAAATCATTGGCAAGCTATGTGTGACATTGTAAGTAATGTAATGATAAAGTACTATTTTGTTTTTTTAATATGGCTTTGTTGACACCTACCCCTTAGAAATACAAGAACAAAATTATTGATAGCACAGTTTGTGACCTAGTTTGATGACCTTTGACCTTGAACATTTTACTTATTCAGAGCTCAGTAGTTTTTTTGTGATTAAGGTGACCAAAATTTACATCCAAAAAAATCAATTTGAAAAATCAACTTTTTTGACCTTTGGAAGGTCACTGAAGGTCAAGTAAAAGTCAAATCTCAAAACTAAGGTCAGATTTGAACTCCTGGCAACTTGTAGATGATTTTCCCCTAAAAATTGGTCAAATTGAAGCAAGTCGAAAAATAACTTATTTTTACTGGTTTTTGACGTCAAATATCTCAAAAATGGTAAAAATTTGATGCTGGCATATATTAAGCAATATGTAGGGAATGCTTAGATCTAGTAATGATGTAATTCATTGCAAGAAATGATCAAGTATTGGGACAAACTTTGAGAAACTTGTCAATCACAAAACCTGCCATTGACTTTATACATGAGAAAGTTCCCTGAAAATGACTAAGTCCTGCTTTTTTTCAAATTTTATAGACTAAACAGCAAAAACTTAATTTCCCAGAGCTTTGAAATCTTCAGAGGACATATGTTGCACACACAGCAACTACTACCACTCATTTGAAAGTTCTATTTCAACAAAGTGTCTGATATTTAAAGAAAATTTGACTTTTTGACGTCAAAATCGGCAATTTCTCGGAAACCGGGCGAACTTGGGAAATGGCGATGATAGGTCAAATAGACATTATGGATATGCATTAAAATGAATGTGGTTACGACTCAATCCGAATAGCAGTTTTAATTTGTGCGGCCAATGTTGACGGACGGACCAACGGACGGACGTCATTTGTTGTTGCTGCATTAGTTTCTTCATTCATTTTCTTCTTTCTTTGTCTTGATTTGATTATGATGTTAGTTATCTTTCTTCAGGGTCCACAGACTTGAGACTGCGCATAGGTGGGTTAAACGTTTTGATGTGGCCGGAAAACTCTCCCCTTCCCCTTACTGATGTTCTTATGTTGATTTGTCTTCTTAGTTTACCCTCTTTGCGGAGAATATACTGTTTCATATTTGTTTGTTAATGTTCTCTTCTCATTAATTTTCCAGTGCTTCATGATGATATTCTCTTGCATATTGTATTTAATACATATCCATTTATTTATTGTTATAGCTTTCTTAGTATACGAATTTAGTATGTTGCTTCTGTAGCCTTGACATTGTAGTTTATTTCCCAGGCTGGTAACTCTGTTTGTTGCATCTTCCAGTTGACTGCAAATTCTTGAAATCCTTATTATTTGTGATAAAAATATTCCATAAGACTGGTTTCTAGGGATATTTCCAGATAAATCTGGATATGAGACTATTTGGAAATTGAAGTTTTCCCTTTTATCGTACGAGGGGTGATCCAAAAGTCTTGGACGCCCTGCTCTAATTTTGTTTGTTTTTGACAAAATTACTTTAAACTTTCCAATAATAAAGACCAACAACTTAACTACTTTGTGTATCAATTTCATGGTGAAATGATATATTTTACGTAGTTTTCTAGATAGTTATCAATATAGGGACCCTGCCACCCGGAACGGTATTCACATATGGCAACTTTCAGCCTTAAATGTTGCCTCTATTTGACTTGTTTTGCAAGTCTTGACCACTATCTTTCCTTAAAATTTGAATGTCTAACCATGTTAGTTTACTTCCTTTGTTACTAGGCAACCAATTAATTGTGTTTTAATTTAATGTCACATATGACAATGGCCGTATATGTAAAGTACTAAGAAAATGACATCAGCCAATCAACCCTCATTCTGGTATCATTTTCGCTCTAAGGTGGCTCCTGAGATGCAGAACATGAAATAAATCAAAGTGGAACAAAGAATTCTACAATATATTGTCACTATTATTGACCTTGAGCAGCTTCCATATGCACGATACAGTCTAGATATGGCTCTGTGTGATTTTCTTTCTTTTCTCCAAGTTGAAAGGAGGGTTGGAAGAAAATGTTTTTTGACTCATCGGATGAGAATAGAGTGGCACTCCAGCAGCATTTGTATCACATAAGCAATGGCGGTTTCATAAATGTCTTTCATTCATTGGTAAAGCGGTGTGAAAAATGTGTTCAAATTCATGGAAAATATGTTGAAAAGTAGGTCTTAATATGTGAAGATGATAATGGCAGATGACTCTCAGACTGAAAATCGGAAATTCTCTCATATCATGACTGGTGTTAGGTTGTGCAGCTGCACCTGAAGTATTTCCCATATTAAAACAGTTGTGACGTGATTTGCTATATTTAAATACCGTTCCGGGTGGCAGGGACCCGGTATTAAAAGATATTCAGAAAAGTAGCTAAATTTTATTAGTTTCTGTTGAAATTTATACACAAAGTTGTTAAGATGTTGATCTTTATTATCTGGAAGTTTCATGTAATTACATTAGAAAATAGCAAAGTTAGAGCGGGGCGTCCAAGACTTTTGGATCACCCCTCGTATAGTTTTGTTGTGATTTGTTTCATTTCTGTCTTTCTGCTTTTGCTAATGGATAAAGTGGAGCAGAAGGGGGTTAAGTCATCTTCAAATTTGTCTTGGGAGCAAAAACGGATGGACCAACAGACGGACGGACACCTGGTCGATCCCATAGGCTCACTGTGTGAGCCAATAATGTACATGCTAAAAATGCCTATGAATATAGAGTGCACAATGTAAATATATAAGGACAAATGCCAAAGGGAATGGTGAATAAAAACTTTAAAGAAACCCAATTAGAAAAGCAAACTGTAGTGTAAATCTGTCATAAGAAAAGTAGACCCTATATATCCCAAAACCATAATCTAACGTGAAAAGAAACAATGTCTAACATCCCCCTCCAATAGAGAACCAATATCACAATCTAGGACCAGAACACCAAGGGACTTTTCATTCATACTGAAATCATAGAGAGATATACATGTTGAAGAAAAATTGAAAAAATTGATAGCCAATACTCATAACATCATAGTTGTAGATACTAGTACTCATAAAAGATAGAGTATTCAGTCTCAAATGATGTGGGATAGATAAAATCCAGTCTCAAAGTCCATAGGCAATTCAAAGGGTCAACATCCGTTCGCAAAGCCGTCATCATAATCCATAAAACACAACAATTCACAATGGTCATCAGGAGAAAACTATGGCTGGTTTCGATCCCTATTTCTCAACCATTAATGCCATAGCTGGGATCCATCTCAAAAGGTGCCAAGTAAAGTTTGACATAATTAGAATTTTCCTAGTGAACATGAACATTATACATTCTCAAATATTATGCACCATTCAAAGAGTCCTTGGATAAAAGGAATTTTCACTATATTTGACTCTCTATTATTGCTTCCAGGGTGGGAAAATTGACTCAATAGGTTACTCCCATGATTTAAGTTTGACAGGCCAAGCTTTATTTTGTCAATACCTCCACCACTTTCCATGTGGGGGTCTCACACAAACCATTGAATTATGCTCAAATGCACATGTAATCTGTATCAACTGAAAAATTCCTTCATTGGTAAAGGGGAAGAAATGATTTTGGAATAAGTGAGGAAAGTCCAGTCCTTCTCCCTTATTTATTGAATGAAAATCAGGGGAGGGGGGGTCATATGGAGTTTCTTCAGAGTCAGAGGTACATGCAAACTTTATCTATTGTAGAATCATTTTTAGATATAAAAGGAATATTATAAGGGGGTTAAGTCATCTTCAAATTTGTCTTAGGAGCAAAAACTGTTTACAGTTCCAAACATGATCCACACAGCACTCACAGGTACATATGTATATGTGAACTTTATCTACTGTAGAATCCCTTTATGGCTTTGGAATAAGTGAATGCTGTCTATCTCCTTTTGTTATAGTATTTTGTGGATGGTGTCAGAGGGTTGACATTTGGCAGTCGGCAGTCAATGGTCGACATCTGTAGCAAATGGCAGGTGGAGACATTTTACATCTCCTTTTATTAATGAATGAGGTGAGGGGGAGGTTAAAGAAGATTAAAATTCTCCTTGGGAGCACAAACCACAAACGTTATACAGTTTCTTCACCCTCAGAGAAACAGGTGAAATGTATCAACTGTAGAATCCTGCCATGGGTTTAAAAGGTTCGCTTTATGAACTACTGTTGGAGTAAGTGAGTGCTATACATTTGATAATGAATGGAGTGGGGGGAAGTCATTTTAGAATATTTGTTGGAAGCAAAAACAAATAAACTATACAATCCCTTCATGAATAAATGGTGAGTTTTAAAAATACTTGAATATGTGAGTGATGTCCATCAGCCACCATCTATCGATGAATTGGGGGAGGGATAAGTCATATAAGAATTTTCCTCCTTTTGTTAATGGATGGGGTGAGGGGAGGTTAAGGTAAAAATATAGTTAAAATTCTCCTTGGGAGCACAAACCACAAACATTATACAGTTTCTTAACCCTCAGAGAAATGGGTGAGATGTATCAATTGTAGAATCCTGCCATGGGTTTAAAAGGTTTGCTTTATGAACTATTTTTTGAGTAAGTGAGTGCTATGAATGGAGTGGGACAGGGGGGTAAACAAACAAAATATATAATCCCTTCATGAATAAATCATATAAGAATTTTCCAGGAAGCACAAACAGCTTACAGCTCTACACCGCATTCTCAAAGATGCAGCTAAACTTTACGAGTGAGCATTCTTTCATGGGTAAAGGCACGGTGCCCATGTCAAGCTGCGAGCCTACTTAGGCGCGCAGTTTGTTTCGATCACAAACTGCGTGCCTAACAACATTGCATCATTTAAGTTGGAGTCTGTATTTTGAAACATAATTTAAAGACATTTATCCTGCATTGTTTTCTTGTTCAATGTGTTCATTCTGTGGCGAATATACGAATCTTGCAAATACTAGCAAAAACTATGTGCAAATGAATCTAAGTTTTAAAACATAAGCAGATTAATTTTCGTCACTGATTTAACGGGAATTTATACGTAAATCGATCTAGCACTTTAAACATAAATGACAAATACTTTAGACTCGTTTTATATTTAATTCCTTAAGTATTTATCATGTATAATTCAAATATTTCGAGAAAAAACAGATAATCAGGAGATTAAAAAGAAATAAAGCACAAACTGCACGCCTATTTTAGCCAGAAATTACAAATTGTGCCCATACACTATTAAAACTACATATTATCATTGGAATTTCTACAGAGGCACATGTAGGTGTTTTTCATATAGCTTTGGAAATTTTGCTTTATCGTCAGATTTTATGAGATTTTCATATTGAAAGTCAAAATGTATAATAGTGTGACAATTAAGTTGGGAACGAAAAAACTTTTATTTTCAGATCACCATCTTGGTTGATGGACTCTCGTAGTGTTTCAATTATGGGGTTCTACTATTAGACCCATATGTGCCTTACATATGGCGCTTACGTTTTCTAATTATACAAAACAAGCTTGGATAGGTAAGCAGTTTGGAAATATTAGGCACGCAGTTTGGGAAATACATGTGAATATAGGCGCGCAGTTTGACAAGAAAAATGTTTAAATCACGTTTATGGCGTACTATCGTTTTGAACACAAACTATGCTGCTTTAATCAGATGGAGTGATCCTATATATTCTAGCATACACAGACACAATGGCTGAATAAACGGCAAATGACGATAAAAAGACATAGATATAACTTTACACTGTACATTTTGAACACAGAAGTTACTTAAGACCCTTATATTGAGATAACTAGGTTTACATCGGGAACAACATCGAGTGCTATGAGTAAATTAAGTTCATCTTCACAGAATGGTACTATCTTTAGAACGAGTCTAACCTTGTATTTTTCGTATTTTGGCTCTTTTTGGGAGTCGTGTCCTCCCCGTCTTCCATTTTGAAATATGCGCGCAGTTTGTCAGAGTTTCAAACTGCGTGCCTAGTAGGCACGCTGCTTGACATAGGCATCGTGAAAGGTGTATTCAGTGGTAAACAGTGCATTTAGGAGTGCTATGCGAATAAGTATGTTACATCAATTGTCCCTATTGAATGATTATAGGGGGGGGGGGGGGGTATAGAAGATGCTGATATGGCTCCTCCCTAACAAACTATATTTAGTTTTAAGATTGACAGCATAGACTCAATAGCAATTACCTGTTCCCCCTCAAAGGAATCCCTTAGCTGATAAAATGCACATGTACCTGCCTGGGTAAGCTATGCTGGACTAGACAGAGCGCATGCTTCAAGGCATCATTGGGAAGTAAATTATTGTACTTTTAAAGGATATATTAAATGAAATAATGAGCATACAAATGTAGACTGATGCATCTGAATAAGAATCATAAGACATTGACTTATAAAGAGAAATTCTTGATAAATTTTAGAAAAAGAAAAATATAAAAACAAGAATTTAACATGAAGAAATGACCCTTTAGACTAACAAAGGCATACAGAAAAATTAAAAAAACAGTTGATCATTACAAAATTATAACATTATTCCCGATAGCATGTTTTCCCTGGGAAATAAACAGGGAATAGAATTGATATTCAAAAGATCCCATATTAGCTAGATTCCTATATCAGATCCCGTATTGGATCCTGTATCAGCCTAAATCACATATCAGATCCTGTCTCGATCCATTCCTGGGGATTTCTCTTGATTTTTATGTTTCAGAAAAAAATTATGGAATAAATAGGTTATTGATGATCTTGGTGGAATATGAATTTTATTTATTTTATCGCCTTGAGAACTATCATATTAACACTTGGGCTATTGCCCTCATTCAATATGATATTTTCCTTGGCCAATATCATATTTTCCCTCAAAATAAAATTCAGATTGCATCCCTCCCATTAAATTACCTATATATCACACAAATACATTTTTAAATGCTACTTGGAGAAGTATTAGTACTCATTATAGAATTTCTGATCTAATTGTGCCACCTTCACTTTCTCATATTTCTAAGGGGTAGGGGTCAACAAAGCCCTATTAAAAATACAAAATAGTACTTAATCATTACATTACTTATATTACAATGCCACACATAACTTGGAAATGATTTATGAATACTATTTGGAGCACTTTTACTGCCTATTATTTCTCTGAAGCTGCAAAAATAAGATTGGTGAAAGTAAAAAATGAACGAAAATATGCCTTTTTATTTCTATAAATTATGTTTTTTCCTAAACCAATCAACATATCTCTCTATAATTTTAGGATACACTTGACCATTGTACTAGTGACATATTATGTAGGTATCAGTACTATACCAAATATTAAGTTGATGTTATAGAACGATAATGTAATACCCCCTCAAATATTATTCTAGGGGGTAAAAAGGCTCAGAATCCTTGGTCCACAAACTAATAGGACCCAGAAGTATGTGAATTGATGCTACATAAAGTAATCTTTCAGAAAAATTATGTCTTACGAGTGGCCCTCTGACTTCCCAAAATGCTTGCTGTAGACTGGCCTATTTACTTTGATATCTTCCCTAAATCTGGTTTCTTTTGCGGCTTTGTTCTGGTCTGAGGGGAAAACATACTTGATCTGAAAATATAAGGCTACATGGCATACACATTTCATGTTAAAGCTTGAAATGAAGGGGATGATAGATAATAGGGAGAGAGGCGATGTAATTCTTTGTACATTTTTTTTTCATTGATATTTCGAACTGACTTTCTTATTTTCAATCTCCATTCCAGAAAATAAATCTTGAAAATAAATACAATATTCATAGTTGAAGATATTGAGCTACCATATTTTGATAATTGTTTTGTTTTCTGGTACATACAGGGTATCATGAAAGTATGGGAGCCCCCCCCCCCCATCCTGGGAAGACATATACCAATGTCGCCAGAGTGTAAATGTATGTCATATATCATTCTAAAGCTTATGCAAGTTACAATGATTCGCCAACAATTGATATTCATCCTATCCTTAACGATAGCACCCATATTTTCTGTCACATTCAGGTCAGGGCTGTTTTGAGGATTACTGAACTGAACTTTAATTTTGGTCTAACACTATATTTCAGACTTGCCAACCTAAAATGAAAAATTTGCGGGAGATTTTTTGAAAATTGCGGTACTTTAACTGGAGGTTTTTTCAAAATCAGGTAGTTTTTGCGGAAGTTTTTTTTTAAAAAGCGGGAGTTTTAACGGGAGATTTTGGAAAAGAACTGTAGTTTTTTAAAAAGGCAGGAGTTTTAACGGGAGATTTTGGAAAAGAACTGTAGTTTTTATGTCCCCACCACATAGTGTGGGGCCATATTGTCGGCCTAGGCGCGTCCGTCTGTCTGTCTGTCCGTCTGTCTGTCCGTTGTACGTCCGGCAGTTTTCTCCAAAACTGCTACAGATATCACCTTCAAATTTTCAGGGATAACTTATGAGTGCATACAGATGTGGATGATACCTACTTCCTGTCGGCCATTTTGAAGTCAAATGCTATAATCCTTGTCTGCAAAATTTAAGAAAAAAGGCTTCACAGTTGCTTTAAGCTCACTTCATTCTAGATCTGATTAGGTTTTGGATCTGTTAGCTCAGTCATGGCATGGCTCAGTCAGGTAAATGTCAAGGCGGCCATTTTGGATTTTCCGTCCTAAAATCTTGTCGGTAAAGCCTTGTCTATGCATTTCCAGGTGAAACGTTTGGTAGATCAATTTCAAATTTTCAGGGATGATCCTTAGTATGAAAATCTAGATCTGATTAGTTTTTAGGCATTCTGGATAAATGTCAAGGCAGCCATTTGGATTTTCTGTCTTAAAATCTTGTCTGTAAAGTCTTGTCTACATGTATGCATTTCAAGGTGAAGCGTTTCTTGGTGCCCATTTTGGATTTCCCGTCCTCAAATTGTGTCGGTAATTGTTAAATTTATTTCAATAGAATACAAAAAAATGTAAATACACAGACATGTAAATTCTTAAATCGCCACAATGGCATTATACAAGAATAGGGGGCAGGTGGAAGTAGAAGTGGCAGAGCAGGCAGGGTCTTGGACTAGGGCAAGTGTGACGGGACTATAGGATACTAGAGATGAGAAGGAGGGAATTATCTATTGTCTTTGATAAAATTAACAATGAGAAGTAGTATTTTGGAATTTGCATCTATGTTTAATTTGGGAATTCCTGTTTTCAAAATAGCTACATGTATGAAATCAGTTTGAGAGAGATTATGACTGAAGATGTTTGGTACGAGATCAATGAGTTTGTCCTTGAATAGCTGTCTTTGTAAAGTAAGTAAGTCACATTGAAAGAGAAAATGTTTCAGAGTTTGTGGTTTTCCACAAGTGCAATTAGGGCTGTCAATAGACTGAAAGTTGTGAGCGTAGAACTGGGCTTTAAAGTATAGGTCGGCTCTCACTTTATTGAGAACTATTTCTTGATCCCTTGTTAGATAAGCTGGCTTGTTGACAAAATCGAGGGCGTTTTATGGAAATGTACTCTTTGGTGTTTTTTAAAATCCGAAAGAGTATTCTTAGATTTATATAGCAGGTGGAAGATTGATCCAATTTGAAATTGCAGCTGGTATTGCTGAGGTGGAGAATCTATTTGAACATCTAATGGGCATTTTAAATGCTTCATTATATCTCAATACTCTGTTTGCATGGTTTCTAAATTTGTCAAAAATATCAGTTACATAGGGAGGACTTGTACCATTTACAATTTTGAACATAAAGTTGTTAATCTGGATACTGCGTCTTGATTCAAGAGTTAGCCAATTGAGTGGGTTTAAAACCTTTTTTGAACTGCTCCCTTGGATACACCCAGAACAATAAAGTGCAGCTTTGTAATAAAGACTGTCGAGTCGTTGTAATAGCTAACTTATATTTAAGTTTCTTTAAAGGGTTCAACATTTTCGTATTTTTGATATAATTTCTCCAATATGCTTGTCATATGATAGGCTTGGGTCAAAAGTAAATCCCAGATGTTTGTGCTCGTGAACTCTGGTAATTTCAACATTGTTTAACTTTGAGACAGAAACATTATCGACTTTAGATCTGGATGAGTGGAATATCATTTCAGAACTCTTTTCAGGTTTAAACTCTAATTTCCAGGTGTCAGACCATTTTTTCAATTTTAATTAGGTTAGATCTGACTATTGCATCTACTTCTTGTGGATGCTTAGGGTCAAAAGGATGATGTAGAGAGAAGTGTCATCCGCATAAATATAGCAATGCCCCTCCAGATTGTCTGGAAGGTCATTAATGTAAGTCTGGTCTACTCATTTTCGGGATAACCATTTGATGGGATCACCCATTGGTGGGGACATTTTGTACACATTTGTGTTCTTGTTATGGTATATTTTGAAAAAAGGGAGTTTTTGCGGTAGATTTTGAAAAAATTTGAGTTTTTATGGGAAATTTTGAAGTAACAGAAGTTTTTACAGTAGATCTTTTAAAAAAGGTACTTTTCGCGATAGACTGTAAAAACGCGAGTTTTTTTTTGTACAGTGCATCCCAAAAAGACGCAACAATAAAAACATTGTAAAATCAGAACACAAGTGATGATAACATCAATTTCATTTAGTTTACCATGAAGCCACGTGTCTCCCCTTTCCAATGATATGCCATTTGTTCATCTCTGATCATGGACCACTGAAAAGTCATTGTTTTTTCATACATGGGTGAAAAGGCCTTTGTGCCAAGTTATGAAATACCAATCAACTGATCCTTACTGTGCAATCATTATGTTATTGGTACTTGGAATTAAATTCTTTTCACAAGATTTACATAACACAAGTTTCTGATTTAGTTTTACTAAGAAAAAAGGAAAAGAAAATTTTACTTTAAGTGTTCATCAGTATCTTTGTTGGTTAAGTTAACGAAACATATGGAAAAAGAAGTAGCATAAACAGTCGTTGTCTGTCATCTTATGAAAGATTACTCATGAAAGATTACATTCCATGCCCTTTCACATGACCACTATTTCTCTACACACAGAGACTGGCTTGTGTCTCCACTTTGCACACCTCTTATGAATCATCTGGGGTTCTGGCGGAGAGCAGCAACCTCATTGGTGACTCTTTGTTAACTGTTGCAATGTCTAAAATTTGGTCAAGAGCAGATTTTAGCCCATTGTGCAAAAGGAATGATTATTCAGTGGTTTGTGGTAGTGTATGAATAATTGACATCCCATTGGAAATAGGAGACATGTGGCTTCCTGGTAAACTAAATCAAATTGATGTAATCATCACTGGTTTTGTGATCTTACAATGTCTCTGTTTGTTGCATTTTTGGGACACACTGTAGATTTTTGAAAAATTGGTAGTTTTTACAGTAAATCTTTGAAAAATGGGAGTTTTTGAGGTAGGTACTGAAAAAATGGGAGATTATACTGTAGATGTCAAAAATGGGAGTTTTTATGGTAGATTCCTGAAAACTGGAGTTTTTACATTAGATTTTTGAAAAAATGGTTGTTTTTACTGTAGATTTTTGAAAAAACTGTCGTTATGTTCTAAAAAAGGGGGGTTTAACGGTAGATTTGAAAAACAGGAGTTTTTATGATAGATCTTTGAAAAATGGTAGTATTTCCAGTAGATTTTTTGAAAAACTGTAGTTTGTGGTATATAATGACTAAAATTGCCATATAAACATAATTATATTATGTATCATGTAAAAAGTATCAAGAAAATTCAAAGTGGTTCCAAAAGGATTAAAATAAAAATAAGAAATAAAATAAAAAAAACTGAATTTGTGTTTTAGTGATTTGTTGTATAAGGCTGAACGTCATATACTGATCATAACAAACCAAATCACGGAAACTATATACGCTATAAAAAGTAGTTCTAATCATTGTCTATGTCTATAGGAGTTTTAACAAAAATATGGGAGATTTCAACAAAAATACGGGAGGTTTTTGGCCATTTTCTCAGGAAAAAACGAGTTTAAAACAATTATATAACGGTAGATTCAAGTAGAAATACGGAACGGGAGTTTACGGGGGTTTTTACAGGAGAAAACGGTACGGGAGTTTGATATTTTTTAAAGGAAAAACAAATATTTTCGGGAGATTCCTGTAAAAAAATGGGAGGTTGGCAAGTCTGATATTTTGAAACGCCTGTAACTTTGTCCCATTAATTGTGAGTTGCCATGATAATCAAATCAATGTAACTTTGGATAAGATTTAAAATGGTATATGAACCATCCCATTGAGACATTGATATATGTCTACCTAGGAGGGGGGGGGGTTCCAATACTTTTGGGACACCCTGTAGATCTGGAATATTGGTTTCATCGGTTCATATGCTTTTGTGTGTTTCATTCCTCAAATATTGCCCCTCTCACTTTCTTATGATATGGCATGTACCTTGGTTTCTCTGTGTATCCAGATGACTTGATGCTTGACTTAAAGGTCAGTGCCTGGTCACCTCCTATTGTGCTTTTTTTGAGGAATCCTTCAATACAATAATATGTACACAAATGTAGCACAATATATTACATACAATCCATTACATATAATACTCTCCAGACAAAAGGATACTAACACCAGGTGAAAATAGCCAACCTAACACCCATGACCAACAAAATCTTCAGAAATTTTAAAAATGTCCATTTTGTTTTTTGAAAATATTGAAGGTGCTTTAAATTTGATGAAGTTCTTGAAATTATTCAAAATAATTACTCTGCATACACTGCCCTGTAAGGTTTAGCTTGTTGATGAAGTAAGGTAACATTTCATTTTCAGAGCTTCAAGGCTCCATATATGTACACCTTTTACAGGTATACGAAAAAGATTTGGGTACACATGGTCAGTGGGCGGATGTCAGTCTTTTATATAATAAAAAGATGAATAAATGCAAAACCAGAACAACGGCAACGCCAAAGCGTAGCGAATCCCATCGAACAGAAATGGCTGGCATTTTTACAAACGAAATATATAGCAAATATTATAAAACAACACACCAGAAAGGCCACCATTTTCAAAATGGTTGCTCACTAGCCAAGTTGTCATCAGAAGAAATAATATGCTTTTAAGTAGCCACCAATAAAATTTTTGAAAAATCGCACACATGTACTTGTAAAATAACACACATAAAAATGGTGGCCATTTTTCAAAATGGCCGCATCTCCCCAAAGTTTTATTAGACAATGTGCCATGCTTAGAGTATTCACATATCAAATATGAACAAAATCGCTCCACTACTTTTCGAGTTATACAGTAGTAAAAAATGTAAAATGACAGCCATTTTTTAAAATGGCCGCCTACTATCCAAAGTGTCATGAGACAGTGGGCAAGGCTCATGAGTATTCACAAATCAAATATGAACAAGTTCGCTACTTTTCAAGTTATAGTAAATTACGTTAAAATGGGGCCATTTATAAAAATGGCCACCTTCTACCAAAAGTGTCATTAGACAGTGTGCCATGCTTATAGTATTCACATACCAAATATGAACAAAATCGCGTCACTACTTTTCGAGTTATAGTAAAATATGTTAAAATGGCGGCCATTTTTCAAATTTTTTTTCAAAATGGCCACCTTCTACCAAAAGTGTCATAGGACAGTGTGCCATGCTTATAGTATTCACATACCAAATATGAACAAAATCGCTCAACTACTTTTCGAGTTATAGTAAAAAAACTTTAAAATGGCGGCCATTTTGAAAAATGCCCGCCTTCCACCAAAAGTGTCTTTAGACAGTGTGCAATGTTTATAGTATTCACATACCAAATATGAACAAAATCGCTCCACTACTTTTCGAGTTACAGCAAAAATCGTAAAATAACGAGTAAAGGCCGCCATTTTTCAAGATGGCTGCCATGTGCTTTTTTAATATCTACATTTGTAGCTTTATTAATGTCCTTTATAATTTAAAACATACTGCTATTACAGTTTTACATATTGCACCTAAATTACTGTAAAATCGGCACTAAAATGGCCGCCATTTTGAAATGAGCGGCCATTTTGAAAATCGGCTTTTAAGCAGAACTTCTACCCCCATAGGGTATATGTGTACAAAATATGAACAAAATTGGGCCAACGGTATTTGAGTTATTGCCCGGACGGACGGACAGAAACTAGGAATCCAATAATAATGTTCAGTATGAAACTAACAAAAAACACACTTAACCCATTGTCAGTCAGATTTAAATCATGTCTTCATTTTAAAGAATAATACGTAATGTAATCCGTAATTTCTCAGTTGTTAAATGTAATTCTGGTAGAAACTACATTTGATTCAATATGACAAAAATAGCTTTCCAATGGTGTGCTTACATTGTGTTCAGTAATCAGTATGACAATACCAATTCATTTTTATTGTGCAAAATAAACACCCAGTTGGCCTACATATGTATTCGGTCTTTTTTGTAAACCCAACCTTTTACCTTACCTTTCTGGGATTTCTTAGCACTGGTTGGTGCATGTTTGGTTTTTGGAACCAACTCAGCTTTGAGAGGGGAGTTAGCACAGATTGGAACACTGGAAAAGAAATTGTTTGAATAAAGCACAGGGAAAACTGTTGATATGGATCATTTACAAATTAAAGGTTGAAACACTGAAAATATTTTTTTGTAATTATTGCAAAATAAAGTTTCTGAAAATGTATGTCAATCACCCATCGTCTTTTACAATTGTATTTTCAATATGCTGCAAAATATGCAAAGATAAAGACAATTTGCCAATCCATATACAGCATTGCTCATATACAGTATGCATTGATTTCCAAAATGTACCCAAAACCCTTTGACCCTCCGACTAACTGGGTGTCAAGATATTTTTGGAATATACAACTTCTTATAACTTGAAGATGATTTTGAAAAAGAAATTTGGACAATTTGAGGCAAGTTGAAAAAAGACCTTTTTGACCTTTTTAACCTTTTTGACCTTGAAAAGGTCATTGAAGGTCAAATCTTAATATAAAGTCAGATTTGAACTTCTGAAAACATGTAGATGACTTTGAGAAAAATTGAAGTCAGTCTAAACAGTGTTTGTTAAGTTCGCTAACCACCGATTGCCAACCACTACCAACCAACCCCGTCAAAAAAACCCAGAGACCATAACAATATGTCACCACTTTTTGGTGGTGACATAAAAACCCTTTGACCTTCGATTTCTCAGTCCAGTCCCATTTTTTCTAGTTTATACATGATTGGTATAGTTCCAACTTGAGTTTCCTGAATGATTGGTTTAATTTGCCATCCCTACCAAGGTGAATTTCCACCTACCCACCCACCATGCAGGGTCTGATTTTAATTCCTGTCTCGCAAGATTTTGAGCTAATCACATCCAAACACATCCAAATAGCGATCCTAAGGATTTTCAGATATCTATCAATATGTGCAAATGAAGGATCCCTATTTTCTATTTGTTCTTATTTAAATAACAAATGTTCTGAGGGAACATTGATGTTCATTGTTATCACAAACATTTCTGAAATCATGCTAGTCAATGCTGTACCAGTGGGCCAGAAAATCAACAAAGAGTAATGCTCTGGTAAGTTGACTAAAACTTAACCATTCAGCCAAACTCTAAATTCTTCCATCAGGATGATTAATGCAGCCGATCACACTGCTAATATTGTGCAGGAAACCATCACAAACTAGATAATGGCAACTCCGCGGAGAAGCAAATCCCAACGAACAAAATATCAATTACCGAATTCCAATGAATTATACTCATTACTTTGGTTAAAATTTAGATTTTAGAATTGCGAATTCCTGCAAAGCAGCCATTTTGAATTTTCTGAGGTACAAATCTGAAAAATAATACCATAATTGTGATCTACTTCAAAATTCCTTCAATTTGAGTATTATATAGCCATACGCTGAAGGGATCGAAAAAATTATTGCGAAATCATACATTAGACGGCCATTTTGAATTTTACGAGGCTCGAATCAGAAAAAAGATACAATATTTGGAATCTACTCTCAATTGCCTTTCATTTGAGTATGATAAAGCTATACTTCAGAAAGATCTAAAAATTATATTTTTTTTCTGTTTTCCTGACCCCCCATACATGGCCCCTGGGGGTCAGGATAAAAAACACGGAATATATGTGAAATGGATAGATGTTGCGAATATACTACCAAAATTTCAAACAATAATATTAATTACCGTACTTTGGTTTAGAATGAAAGATTTATGATTTTTGCGAAAAAGTCCCGTCATTTTTAAAGTGGTGGCCATCTTGAAAAAATCCATTTTGAATTTTCTGAGGTACAAATCTGAAAAATAATACTATAATTCGTCGCATGAGAATAACTTTGTACTATCTCACATTTTTACGGAACTGAGAAATCAAGGTTTGAAAGTTTAGAGGTCTGTATCTTACTTAGTATTGCTATATGAAACTTGATTTTTTGTATGTCACCTGGTCTCACCCTAGAGATATCTTATATGAAATATCATACCTTGAAACAATTTACAAGATCCTTTTTTAAAACTATGGAAATGGAGTTGATACAATTTCCCACCGGAATAACAGCTTATTTCTAATTTCAAATTGTCATATCTGATATCAACTGTTTCAACCAATCAACTCTCTAAGAATTGGTCATGTGACTTGCAAAACTTGGAGTTATAACAATCTTATTTTAAAACAAGGTATGCCAATATGCATGTTATTGTATCTAGAATGAAAAATAATGTTTTGCTTTGTAAAAAAATCTTCAAAAACCAAAGAATATTATTTAATAAAATAAAGAAAATTCAATTTATAAAACTTTAAAATCAATTTCTCAAATAAGTACAATTATTTCTTAATTTTGGAATCTCAGGACACCCTTCAAAAAGAATTTATTGCCTTTGAAACTAAGGCAGAAGTACAATGCATTGAAACCAATGATGCCAATACGGTCCCCCACATATTTCCCTCGGTATAAACCCTGTAGCCTAAACCTCCCAGCACATTACAATGTAGCCCCTAAGGGCTGGTCCGCTGGTCATTATCAGGTTATTTTTGATACAGACCAGTTGCTTTTTTCATTGGGTATAGGAGAATAACATTGCAACTGGTCCGTAATTCCATTTTGACCAGCAGGTTTCAGATCCTTAGGGCCTAAGACAACCAATTTTTATTACATGCACATGGAAGAAATTTGAAAATAGAAAAATAATTTCTAATTCATTTAAGATTAATGAAAGTGATGAAACCTCGATTTAGGTAATCACATTTTGTTCATTGGGATGCAGCTATCATTATCCATTCATTTTCTGTTGTTTGCTACTCTGTGGAGTACAATTGGGAATTGAAGCAATTGTAGAAGTGGAGACTAAGAGTGGCTCTTTGTAAAGAAATTGAACCAATTTGTTACTTTTCCAAAATAAAATGTAGATGATCTAAAAACAATGATCCCAAAAATGCAAAAGAAAGGACAAATCTGAAAAACATACTAGTAATAAAATGACTAAAAAGATCCCAGATGTTCAGTGAAAAGCGCAAAGTAAATCATAGATGAAGAGATAATAAAATAAGTGTTTTAAGGGACTATACTAACATAAAGATAACTCCTTATTGATATAGTGTATGGTCAGTAAAAGTTAAAGCTAGTTTAAATAGATTTAGCTTTTTTCCACAAACTATAAAACATCATTTTGAAAGAAATATCAATAGTATACAGACAGTGATTGCCTTTGAGCAATGTAGTGCAAAATATGACAGTTACTATTTGTTTTGATTACTATATCTAGTATATAACCTATTATTATGTACTCTATTTGAAGAAACATATAAGTAGTCTTTCATTTTCAACATTTAATGATGACAGCTTCGTATATGCATTTCTATTGCATTTGGCCATTCAAACCCCTATAAGACCTGGTAGCAGGGAAGATAAAAGGTTCTTTTGACTGCTCACATGATCTAATTAACTGGTCATTTGTACTTTTCATCTTCCCTGGTAGCAAGGATTTAGGTTTTCGAGGAAATTAGTAATTCTATTTCATATCATGTGGCCATGAATAATCCAATGAGCATCCATAATACAAAGAGTAATTGAGGGCATATAATTTGAATATGCATGGGATTACACATACTGTATCAGTATTATTTTTTGATCTACTTGTAATAGTTCTAAAACTAAAACATGAAAGGCCAGGCATGCAAACTGGCATGGTATTGTGTTACAAAACATTATTTCATTCTAGATACAATAACATGCATATTGGCATACTTCGTTTTAATATAAGATTGTTATAACTCCAAGTTTTGCAAGTCACATGACCAATTCTTAGAGAGTTGATTGGTTGAAACAGTTGATATCAGATATGACAATTTGAAATTAGAAATAAGCTGTTTGTCTGGAGATGGTACAATTTCACACTGAATTCTAGCTTAATGAGAGGGAATTGAGATGGGGCATGTATCTGAGATGAAAGCCTGTGTTTCAAATAGTAAAATTCCATGTCTATCTCAATTTTTTTGAAAATGGCAGTTAGTACAAAGTTATTCTCACGCGACGAATTGTTATCTACTCCAAAATTCCTTCAATTTGAGTATTATATAGCCATACTTTGAAGGGATCGAAAAATTATTGCGAAATCATACATTAGACGGCCATTTTGAATTTTACGAGGCTCGAATCAGAAAAAAGATACAATATTTGCAATCTACTCTTAATTGCCTTTCATTTGAGTATAATAAAGCTATACTTCAGAAAGATCTAAAAATTAGCGAAAATTTCTGTTTTCCTGACCCCCCATACACGGCCCCTGGGGGTCAGGATGAAAAACACGGAATGTATGTGAAATAGATAGATGTTGCGAATATACTGCCAAAATTTTAAACAATAATATTAATTACTTTGGTTTAGAATGAAAAATTAATGATCCCGTCATTTTTAAAGCAGCGGCCATCTTGAAATTTTTTTTTTTGCATAAAACAATTCACTAATACACATCTTTCCGCTAAATATGAAGAAAATCCGTCTACTAGTATTTGAGTTATCTTCCGGACGTACAGACGGACGGACGGACGGACGGACGGACTGACGGACTGACGGACTGACGGACGGAGGGCTTCACTATATCCCTACCGAACTTTGTTCGTTGGGATAATAACTGGCAAGATAGGTGGCAAAGCTGCTCCAAGTTACATACTCTCCAGATGAGACAATCCTTGATTTTGCTGTTTTCAAAAGGATGAAGGATCAGCTAAGAAGTGCACTTTATGGAACAATGAAACTACTTTCGACTGCAGTCAAGATTGCCATTCAAACAAGTTTTCCAGATGGCTTCGGAGCATGCACTGTATCGTCAATTGGTTGAATTGAAGCAACTGTGCATTAAACATGAGTGAGAATATTTCTGAAATCTTATGGGACAATAGTTGTAACTATTACATTAAGCAATATCATGTACAAGTAGAAAGCGGAGAAGAAACTCATGTGATATACTCATAAATTGCCTACTATCCTGTTGTTTATCTAATGAATAATGTGATGTAAAAAGTGCCCCACCTACTCAAAAGTCAAGTTACCATAGTAACCCTTATTTTTGACCAATCGAATAAGATATCCTGATATTTTAAGAATCAATCACAAATTATTTTTTATACATTATAAATGTGTGAAAATTTCATGAGAAAATATCAAAATATCTTTGAAATGAGAGCATTTTCCATGAAATTATTGAACAACCTGGTATACATGTAAAGGTTTCCTAGAATTCTATTTTAACTGGACATTTTAGAACAATCATTCTTGCATACTATCATGCAATATACTGATATTTGTGAAGTGCTCAATATTTAAGATACTATATGACCAATGGTATATCTGGTGTATTTGTACTGTACAAACCTAGAGAGTACTGTGATTTCTTGATTCTCACTTCTCGTCTCCAAGGTAAAGCAGTCAAGACCATCAGCAACCCTTCCCATATCTAGAATATCACTGTTGTCCAATTGGTGTTCATCCGTAACACCGCTGCTGCTTATTTTCCCTCCAGCATTATAAGAATGAGGTAGACGGAGTATGTTGAAGCCATTAGCAAATAGGTTGCCAACTGCACAAAATGTCTGAATTGAACAATATTGTACCTAATATTATATTGGCTTTGTATAAAAAAAAACTCCTACCTCATACCCACCTACCCACATACGTCAATTCTAAAGATCTTAGTTTATTAAATCTTAGTTTATGATGAATTATAGATGCATTTGTAACGACCCTTGATAGCAAGTTGCTACTACGCCCAGCTGGGTTTGATTCCCACTCAGGGCATCGAATTTAGCACACTCTATTTCAATTTCTTTATCTGGCTTGTTGGACCTATGCTCGCGGTTGTACGTTAGTTATTCCCCTGGGGCGCCCTCGGGTCATTACACATTACAATGCACCCATATGCCTTTATTCATGGATCTGTCATCCGTCTAGTCATAAAATAAAGCCGGAATTGTAGAAATGTTAATAATTAGAGCTATTTTGAGATTTAAAAATCTTTAAAATTAAACCCTTCAATGACTGTATCATGTCCCACAGGTGGGTATGAGGTAGGATTTTTTTTTATACAAAGCCTATTATATTTAAATGATATATTAAAACAATGTGATTTATTTTCTCATTGGTTAACTCAAAATGTTGAAGAAGATTATACATTAATTCAAATGATCACAAATTAAGAAGTAATTGTGCACTTCAATGGAAACAGGATATTCTTACTTTTCCTGTACTTACTGTAGGACCAGTATAAAATTCAAAAATACTTTCACCAAAGAATCATATTTAAACATTCAAAACCAGAACAACGGCAACGCCAAAGCGTAGCAAATCCCATCGAACAGAAATGGCAGGCATTTTTACAAACGAAATATAAAGCAAATATCATAAAATGACACACATAAGAAAGGCCACCATTTTCAAAGTAGTTGCTCACTCGCCAAGTTGTCATCAGAAGAAGTAATATGCTTTTAAGTAGCCGCATATAAAATTAAAAAAAATGGCACACACGTACAATGTACATGTAAATGGTGGCCATTTTTTAAAATGGCCACCTACTACCCAAAATGTCAAAAGACAGTTTGCAATCCTTACGAGTATTCACATATCAAATATGAACAAAATCGGTCTATTACTTTTTGAGTTATAATAAAAAATGTAAAATAACACACATAAAAATGATGGCCATTTTTCAAAATGGCCGACTACTCCCCAAAGTTTTATTAGACAATGTGCCATGCTTAAAGTATTCACATATCAAATAATATGAACAAAATCGCTCCAATACTTTTCATTAGTTATAGTAATAAATGTAAAAATGACAGCCATTTTTTAAAATGGCCGCCTACTACGCGAAGGCTCATGAGTATCAAATATAAACAAAATTGCTCCACTACTTTTCAAGTTATAGTAAAAAATGTAAAAATGGTGGCCATTTTGAAGTTATTGTCATTAGACATTGTGCCATGCTTAAATTATCCACATACCAAATATGAACAAAATCGGTCCACTACTTTTTGAGTTACAGTAAAAAATGTTAAATAACACACATAAAAATGGTGGCCATTTTTCAAAATGGCCGCCTAATACCCAATGTGTCATTAGACATTAAAGTATTCACATACCAAATATGAACAAAATCGCTCCACTACTTTTTGAGTTCCAGTAAGAATGTTAAACAACACACGTAAAAATGGCGGCCATTTTGAAAAATGGCCGCATACTACCCAAAATGTTATTAGACATTGTGCCATGCTTAAAGTATTCACATACCAAATATGAACAAAATCGCTCCACTACATGTACTTTTCAAGTGACAGGAAAAATCGTAAAATGACGTGCAAAAACAGCTATTTTTCAAGATGGCTGCCATGTATTTCTTCTATATTTACATTTGTAGCTTAATCAATGTCCTATATAATTTTTTTACATTTAAAACATATTGCTATTGCAGTTTTATAGACAGAACCTAAATTACTTATTACTCTTTACAATAAAGTAATGCAACGGCAGAAAGGCAATTTTGTTTTGCTTTGAATGGAACAAGTTTGAAGAAAAACATCCGGTAGGTCAAAAATTCAAATTAACGGTCGAAGTTAGGACCGCGTGAGTTTATTGTCAAAACTGAAGTACTAAATGATAACTTTCCATTTTAAAACAAGCTACATGGGTAAGTATACATCTTCTTTATATATATATATATATAGAATAACCTTAAAACCACAGCCACATAGCAATGATAGTAAAAAGCAGAAGCAGAAGTTGTACTGTGCCTATTTACCGTGATTCTCGACTACCAAAACGTGAATCATGATAAGCTAAAAATTGACAGATAAAACGTGATAAAAAACGTGAAAACTTGGCACTTGGAGTGTCTGGTAACTATGCTTGTAAACTCATCTCGGAGGAAAGACAAATCTATAGATTGCCCTGGGTTCTCATGAACTGAGATACATGTAGCCACAGCAATGATAGTGAAAAGCAGAAGCAGAAGTTGTACTGTGCCTATATACCATGATTCTCGACTACCAAAACGTGAATAGTGATAAGCTATAAATTGACAGAAAAAATGATAAAAAACGTGAACACGTGGCACTTGGAGTGTCTGGTAACTATGCTTGTAAATTCATCTCGGAGGAAAGACAAATCTATAGATTGCCCTGGGTTCTCATGAACTGAGATAGCCACAGCAATGATAGTGAAAAGCAGAAGCAGAAGTTGTACTGTGCCTATATACCATGATTCTCGACTACCAAAACGTGAATAGTGATAAGCTATAAATTGACAGAAAAAATTGATAAAAACGTGAAAACGTGGCACGTGGAGTGTCTGGTAACTATGCTTGTAAATTCATCTCGGAGGAAAGACAAATCTATAGATTGCCCTGGGTTCTCATGAACTGAGATAGCCACAGCAATGATAGTGAAAAGCAGAAGCAGAAGTTGTACTGTGCCTATATACCATGATTCTCGACTACCAAAACGTGAATAGTGATAAGCTATAAATTGACAGAAAAAATGATAAAAAACGTGAACACGTGGCACGTGGAGTGTCTGGTAACTATGCTTGTAAATTCATCTCGGAGGAAAGACAAATCTATAGATTGCCCTGGGTTCTCATGAACTGAGATAGCCACAGCAATGATAGTGAAAAGCAGAAGCAGAAGTTGTACTGTGCCTATATACCATGATTCTCGACTACCAAAACGTGAATAGTGATAAGCTATAAATTGACAGAAAAAATTGATAAAAACGTGAAAACGTGGCACTTGGAGTGTCTGGTAACTATGCTTGTATACTCGTCTCGGAGGAAAGACAAATCTATAGATTGCCCTGGGTTCTCATGAACTGAGATTTTGGGAAGTGATACAATTATTGGAATTGTTTCCCAATAATTTAACAATTCATTTATAGGTTCCTTCAGTGTAATCATTGCTTGCACACTTCCCATCATGCAACAGTCTGTACTTCTGCCCAAAGTAAAATGAAATAAAATGTTTAGTGCTCTGATTAAAACATCAGTTTATGTTTAATACAGAACATTTTGGCGACAAGGATAATAACTGGAGAGGTTAAGCTTTGCATATACAGGGTGTCCGGAAAGTAAAGATACAAATGCTCTTGTTTTAAGAGATTTGGGTCTTTTGAAATGAAACTGCTACAGTTTGTAGAGCAAGATTATTACAATATATCAACCAACTTTCATCACATATAGTCTTAACGTGTTCAAGTTATGGTTGTTATGGTTACGGCTGTGAGGGGTATGTGGAGCAGTTCCAGAACATAGCTAAAATGTGAAAAATTGGTAAAATACAATAATCTGAAACAGCGTTTTTTGTCGTATTTTCTATCAATGTTTTGCTAATTTTTGTTTGTTGTTTGTATTATTACTGCCATAGTTTTTTCTTTTATATAATGATGTCATTGTTAATCAGAACTATTTTATTTCACTAACCAGTATAATCAAAGAAATATCATACAAGCGTTTAGAAAGTACAGCCTCTGGATTTAGTTGGAAAGTCAATATTGCATCTCCATAATACACACATTCTCAAAGCAAAGAAAACAATTCTTACAATGGATTGTCTTGACATTAAACCTTTCTATACAATGCCCCATATTCACCTGATAGAGCCTTTTTGACTTTTACCTTATGACCATCTGAAAGCAATATTTGTAAGAAGTACAACATACAAAATGAGTCTCAGCTAGAAGTCAATGCTATAAGCAATTTGAGAGACGGACAGCAATGATTTTGTCAAGTCTTTGAATCTGCGGTCAAGATGCACCAAAAATATTTAGATAATGGGGAAAATATTGAATATTCAATGATAGTAGTTATATTAAGAGATCAAATAATGTTACGGTACTAATCCTTATGCTGTTGTAGTAGATAATTTGATGTAGGAATAAATGGAAGAATGCCAAGATGCTATGAGCAGGAAAGAGATTTGTAAAACACATTTGTGACGTTGCTCCACATACCCTTGACTCCCATTACCATAACGACCATAACTTTTTCATATTAACACTAAAAGCCATGACCGTAGCAGGATATATTGCTATAATGTCATTCTACATTCTGGAGCAATTTCATCTCATAACATGTAAATCTCTTAAAATGAGAGCATTTGTATCTTTACTTTCCGGACACCCTGTATAATCGAAACTGAACCTGTACGTATCACTCGACCATATACAAATTCATGTAGCCTTCTCATATAAATAGCCATTCAAATCCAGTGTTTGTTTAGACTACACCATAGCGTGTAATGATTCTATAGTATGTCATTGATGCGGTTTTATAGTTGGTTTTCTAATACATATTTTAAACGAGCTCGTTTCGTAAGATTTTTGGCGCTAAATCATGCATGACATACATCATCTTGTTCAGCAAGAATTCAACTGTGCATCGAAATCAAAATTGACAGCATAGTGTTCAATAGACACGAGTAAAATGGTTCCCGTTGACCCAACGTCAAATTTCAAATCTCCCGTTCTAAACCCGAAACTCTGAAGCTGAAAGAGTATCTGAAGTAGACTAAGCGCGCATAAAACTATGAGCGCTCGATACATTCCTT